GTGGTTCTCTTCCCGTACATGTCTAAAGGCCACATCATCCCCCTCCTCCAATTCGCCCGTCTCCTCCTCCGTCACCGCCGTGTCAACTCCGGCGACGACGACGTCGAAACACCTTCCATTTCCGTCACCGTCTTGACCACCCCAAAAAACCAACCCTTCGTCTCAAACTTCCTCTCCGACGACTTCACATCATCATCGATCAAAGTAATCTCCCTCCCTTTCCCGGAAAACATCGCCGGAATCCCTCCCGGCGTCGAGAGCACCGACAAGCTCCCTTCCATGTCACTCTACGTCCCCTTCACTCGCGCCACCAAATCTCTCCAACCTTTCTTCGAAGAAACACTTGAGAATCTTCCACAAGTTTCTTTCATCGTCTCCGATGGTTTCCTCTGGTGGACATCGGAATCCGCCGCTAAGTTTCAGATCCCGAGACTCGCTTTCTTCGGCTTTAACTCCTACGCATCGGCTCTTTACTCCTCTGTTTTTGTACACGGACTCTTTACCAAACCGGAAAACATTGTTAAATCAGATACCGAACCGATTACCGTACCGGATTTTCCGTGGATCTGGGTTAAGAAATGCGAGTTCGACCCGGTTTTTACCGACCCGAATCAATCGGGTCCTGCGTTCGAGCTCTTCATAGACCAAGCTGTGTCCACGAATAAAAGCCGTGGAGTTGTAGTGAATAGTTTTTACGAGCTCGAGTCAACGTTCGTTGACCACAACCTACGTGGTAACGATGGGCCCAAGCCGTGGTGTGTTGGGCCATTGTGTTTAGTAGATCCTCCTAAACCGGAGAGTGTTAAACCGGCTTGGATTGATTGGCTGGACCGGAAGCGAGAAGAAGGACGTTCGGTTTTGTATGTGGCGTTTGGAACGCAGGCAGAGATATCGAACGAGCAGCTCAAAGAAATAGCATTAGGGTTGGAAGATTCCAAGGTACGTAAAACAATACTAGATGCCAACTTATGAAATAATTAGTGATTACAAAAATTTATGTATACGCATGGTCAGTGTCGTGCCAAGGCTTCCAGAGGATCAAAGCGAATTAAAAAATTAGATTTTAATCGATAGTTATAAACTAGATTTTTAAAAAAAGTTTTAAAATCTTCAAAAAATACTAAAACATTAACAAGAAAGAAAATCTATGACAATCTTGTTCTTTTTCTATGAATTTTTTAACCAAACTCTCATAAACGGTTTATTAAATTAGTTTTCTTTCTATAGATATGACTAATATTTGGAAATTGGGAGGCCCAAAATTTATATATTATTTAGGGGCCCGAAGCAAATATCTTTTTCGTAACACTATAGGCACGGTCTTGTATATGGTCGATTGTTGTAGAATGTATGATTGCTTGTTCATGCCCCCTTATCATCAATTTAAAACCCTACCTATTTTATTTTATTTTTGCTAAATAAACCCTACCTTAAATTGACCTTGCTAGAATCTCATATTGAGTTGAAAATTCATATCAAATATATTAAGAAAACTACAAAAAAATAGTGATTTGAAAACAGTGATTGTCTTTAAATAATTTGGTCCCCAGTAGGGCTGGACAAATTATCCATTAAATTCGATCCGATCCAAAAAATCCGGATATCCGTTTTGAATCAAAGCGAAACAAATAATAAAATTTAGTATATGTCTAAACCGAAGCAAATCACAAATACTAACTTTAAAAATCCGAATATCCGATCCGATTCGTATATTACTTATACATACATATAATATGGTAGATTTATAATGTAAATTTACCTTTTTTTACTTTTAAATATATTTGGCAAATATATATATATAGTAAAAATAGATAGATACTAACTTTATTTAAAATATATTTCTTAACTAGAAA